CAGCAAGATGAACTCATCAGCGAGAGAGAAGGCAAGTGGCAAAAAGCCAGGCGTTCTCTGCCATGGCCTTTTATACGGGCTGCCATCAGAAGGTAACACCCACATTTAGGGTGTGTCTTCCAGCTTCAGATGATCCAATTAAGAAGATCTCTCTCATTTCAGTTAATCCCAGACCCAGTCAAGTGGACACCCAGATTAGCCATCACACCTACTGAGGATTTTCCCCTTGTGGTTCCAGGCATAGAACCCTTGCATACTAGGCAAGTGTTTTAAGTTGGAACATCTTGATTCAGGGATATAGAAACTTTTTTCAAAAATAATGTAAAAGAAAAATTTGTATATTTTTGTGTAGTATAAGATATCTGTGGGAGCCCTAGGTTAGACCTGTACTGTCCAATGTGGTAACCACTGGCTACATGTAGCTGCTGAGGACCTGAAATGTGCCTACTCCAAATTAAAACTGCTACAAGAGAAAAAGAATGTATGCCAAATTTCTAAGACTTAGTATAGAAGAATAAGGTAAAATCTCTCACTGATAATTATGTTTGTGTGTGTGTGGTTGGTGTCAAGTGTTTTCCTCCCTCTCCATTTTATTTTTGACACGATCTCTTGCTGAACCTGAAGCTCACTAATTTGGCTAGACTCACTAGCCAGGGTGCTCCAGGGATCCACCTATCTCTGCCCTGTTGGCACCGGGAGTTACAATCATGGAGCCCACACCTGGCTTTTTACCTGGGTTCTGGGGATCTGAATTCAGGTCTTCACACTTGCACAGCAAGCACTTTACCCACTGAGCCATCTCCTAAGCCCTTTCATTAATAATTATTTTTTATTTTATCTTTTTTGTTTTCGTTGTCTCCCTGCAGCCCCAGCTGGCGTGGAACTCTATATATAAACCAGACTGGTCTCAATCTTGCAGAAATCCACTTGTCTCTGCCTTCTAAGTGCTAGGACTAAAGGCATACACCTCCACTCCAGCCCTTATTGAGAATTTTTATGGGCATATTACATTAAGTAAAATCTATTATTAAACTTAATTTTACTTCCTTCCTTTTATACTTTATTTTTATTTTATGTGTTTGAGTGTCTTGCCTGGACTTGTATATGTGCACCTGTGTCATGCAATGCCTGCAGATGCCAGAAGAGGGAGCCAGATCCTTGGAACTGGAGTTACAGATGGTGGTTAGTTGCCATGTGAGTGCCAGGAATTGAACTCAGGTCCTCTTGCAGAGCAGACAGTGCTCTTAACCACTGAGCCATCTCTCCAGGTCCTCCTTTCATACTTTAAATGGACGTACTAAACCAGAACAATTTTAGCTGCATGTGTGATTTGCATTATATTACATTGCATTTCCATTGGCCATTGCAAAGTAAGACCCTGGCATGGGGTCTGCTTTTCATTTTCTTTTTCTTTTTCTTTTTGAGAGAGAGCCTCACTTTATAGTCTTGGCTGTCCTAGAACTCACTATGTAGACCAAGCTAGCTTTGAAGTCGTAGAATTCTTCCTGTGTCTGCCTCCTGAGTGCTGGGATTAAAGGTGTGCACCACCTTGCCCAGCCTATGACTCGGCTTCTTCACTAACAGAACCTACCACCTCCACTGTACACTCCTGATTTGCTCGGTTCCTATTCCCATCCTACTTGCTCACCTGCCAGTGCCGCAATTATGCCCAAGGCTCTTAGAACCAATGTAGAACCAGTCCTTTAATACTGCAATACTTTCTCAGTAATAATCAATAAATACGTTGAAGTGTCCACTTATAATGTTAATGGGGTTGCATATTAAAACTGGTCTGCCAGAACTTACTGTTAAATATAAATTCTAAATTGCAATTATAGTAATGTAATTGATATTCTACACTGTATAGTAACTAGAGTTTCAAAGCTGCTGCTGATTCAGCACCTTGTCCCTTTCAGAGTGTGCACGCAGGACAGGCACAGATGGACTACCCATACATGAGAGTCAGGACATTTCTGGACATTGGTCAACTCTGCCTCTTTTTTCTATTCATTTCTTTTTTTTTATTCTCCCTTTTCTTTTTCTTTGTTGTGACATGAAGATGATGGAGTGACATCCATAGTTTTAGACAAGAACATTCGCACTACCTAAATACTGGGCAGAAGAGAGATTCTGAGGGCACCAACTGAACTCTTGCTGTACAAGGGCCTTCCCTGTCTCCCACTTTCTAAGGTTCAGTCTGCCCAGCTCTCCTTCTCATTCATTCTCAGCTTTCCCTTCAGTTTGTCTCTAAAGCACACATTGTCTCCAAACACACCTTAGGTACATACACCTTTTCACCAAACACAAATGCAGTTCACAGGGAGGCTCTTCCCTGTACCACTAGCCACTCTCTGTCACTCCATGGTCAGAGCAAAATGCAGATAACTGAAAGAGAAGGCCCCGTAGGTCATACACATGGCTCTTGTTGCTTTTTCTGACTTATTGTTGACTCACGTTGTTCTTTGAGTCGCTTTCTCAGAAGCCCAGCCTCACAGTTAAAAACACAGCAATAACAAATGACTACAAAAATATACCTTAAAGCATTTTTTGACTCAGTTTATATGCTTATTTGGAATGGGGCCCAAACCCTTGCTTCATTTCATTATTACAGTCAAAAGCTTCTCTCAGGAAGTTTTCCGGGTAAAAGAATTAAAATAAATACTTCTGTTCCAACTTGTCAACATCATGCTTTTTCTGTTTAGTTTAATTTGCTTCTGTTATTCTTAATTGGGGGAGAATTGTTTCTAACCCCTTGGAATGTCCCACTTAGGGGTTCTTTAAACATGACATGGCATTAAAGAATTGGTATAACCTTTTAAAAGAATGAGCATTCTCTGTAAGTGGCTTTCCCTGACACTAGCAGAATAAGGGATATGTCTTAGGAGTGTGAACTGAGACCTGAAGAAGTGCCATCTCGGTTCCATTATTGTTTTGGCTTGTGAAATAAACTTGGATACATATCTCCTAAGACTCAATTTATCCATCTGTGAACGGGGAACACAGTATTCTTTCTTTCTAGGCCACACTCAGGTGAGCTCTGTAATAGAAACAAGAAACTAATAGAAGCAAAGCAAACTGTTCCTTGATTTACAGTTATTTTGATTGACACTTGAAAGATTTTCCTAACTCCAAATTATCTGATTATAAATAATAAAATGCTCTCACTCTTTCCAATTCCTGTATTTTTAAAGTGGCAAAATCTAAAGACTTCTTTAATGTTGCAGTAAGCCAGACTAGAATTTGTACATGACATTGACTTCCAGACAGCCCTTTCCTCTGTTGGTATTCAAAGCTGAACATATATTTCTTAAAGCATCACCCCTCCCTTTGTCCTAGCACTGAAGGGTTATACAGACTTTACTTTTCAATGACACTGAGGGAGGAGCAGGGTTCAGTAGACTTTCTGCAGCAGGGGGTGAGCCAAAGAAACCAAAAATTCAGGAACCTTCCTGGGATGAATAGGGCCACTGAAGATGGAAAAACTCCTTAAGGACTTTCTCATCAGCGAGACAAAGTTGGGTTAGGAACATTCCTAACCTGGACATTACCAAGTGCTGAATATTGTGGTTTAAAATATTAATACTGAGGCTAGAGAAATGGTCCAGGAGTTAAGAGCACTTGCTGCTCTTGCAGAAGACCTGGGTTGGGTTTCCAGCACCCACATCAGGTGGCTCACAACTGACTGTAATTCTAGTTCTAGGGAATCTGATGTCCTCTTCTGGCTCTGTGGGCACCTGCATGCATGGGGTACACAAACATACACTCACACATACACATATACACATGAAACAAATATATCTTTAAAAATGGTTGCTACCATTCATCACCATAAAAAACACATTTGTGTACCATTTAAACATTTTATTTTTAGATTAACTTTCTTGTCCAAAGACTACTACCAAATCTCCTTTGCCTTCTAATGTTTGAAAGTGTTTTTATATTAAAAGAAAATTGCAAAGTAAGGCATGGTGATGCACAGCCTTTAGTCCTAGCACTCAGGAAACAGAGGCAGGCTAATCTCTGTGAGAATGAAGCCAACCTGGTCTACATAGAGAGTTCTAAGCCAACCTCAGCTACAGGGAGACCTTATCTCAAAACCACCCAAAACAAACAAAACAAAAAAACCCCAAACAAATAGTGTCACTTGAAAGTCTGTCAGTCTCATGGGCTGTGGCTAGAGACAAGGTCTCATCAGTTAGAGTAGCCTTGGTGCCAAACACTTTTGCTCCTGACACCTCCCCCAGGACCTCCAGCCTCCTGGCACCCTCGTGCTGTCACAAGAAGCTCAACAGGATGTTGAAATGGTGTGTCCTGTCGCTTACCTATTGCCAGGGAGAGTCACTTGGTGGCTATCACCTAATCCACCAGATTCCTCATACAGTCACAGTCACCTCCCCTCCCTTTCTGTGACACTTGGGTAGAGTGATCCTAAAACAAAGCCATTTGTGTTTTAGTGTTTGGAAGAGATTTGAAGTAGCTTGGCAGTGTTTTTGTTTGTTTGTTTGTTTGTTTGTTTGTTTTTTGTTGTTGTTGTTACTTTCTGGTTTCTTGCTCTAAGTAGAACACAAAGAGAGAAAGATCCAGGGCCAGAACCAGCATGCCTTCACACTTAAGGTTACCACTTTCTTTCGTCAGTCTCCTTTGAAAGCCTTTCTCCTCAGACTAGATCTATCTTTTCCCAGTATAAATTGTCTTCTGGGAGATTTCAAAAGCTCCACTAGAGCTTTGATTTTATGTTTCCACCCTAGTTCACCCACACACTTGATCCTCCCTGGTGACACATCCCAAACACAAACTCACATCCTGCTAAGTAGGATTTTCCCTTCTGGTGAAAACCAGCCCAGACCACATTCAGGGGTTGATTTGAGGTGCAGGGACAGCATGCTGGTGGCCATGTCAGGGTAGCAGAGGTGAGCAATGAGAACAGGACAGGCTGGAACTTTCCAGAAAAGACACCTTGCATGCTATCTTTTCACTCAGGCTCTGTTTTCTTTCTGCAGAATGATATCTTCGAGTGGGCCAGGGATCACCGAGCCCACCACAAGTACTCAGAGACCGATGCAGACCCCCACAATGCCCGCCGAGGCTTTTTCTTCTCCCATATCGGATGGCTGCTGGTGCGTAAGCATCCCGATGTCATTGAGAAGGGCAAGAAGCTTGATGTCACTGACCTGCTTGCTGACCCTGTGGTCCAGTTCCAGAGAAAGTGAGTGAATGATTATCCACAGGAGCTGTCCCTCAGGGACCAGGCAAGGGGACAGAGCCCAGTGGGTGCGATAATATCCCCATCACTAGCTCCTCCAGCCTTTAGCCTAGTAGCTGGGCCTTATTGTGAGGATCCACCCCTGTTTATTACTTTCTTTTTACTTATTAAGTTCTGCACATTGGCAAGTTACTTTTGCATTTCAAGTTCATGGGTAATGGATTTCCACTAAGTCCAGTGTCATTTCCTCCTGATTAATCTTGTGTGGCTGATTTCATGGAATCTGTCACTTCCCCCTCTCTCCCATCTGAGTTTCCTTGGGGTGACAGAGGGGAGGGTCTTGCCTTATTTTAGTGACGTACTTGATTCCAACAGGACTGATTCTTTCCAGGTGTCCAGTTTGGTTCTCCTGCAGTCTGCCCTCTGGTCTGTGGAAAAGTGGCATCAGTAGGTTTCTGGGTAGAAAAAATGAGGTCATGTATCAGGTAGCTTCAGTGTGCTCAGGATCCCTAATAGTGTCAATTGAGTGATATTTACATGGTAAATCAACAAGCAGGTGAAGAAAGTTGGCCTGTAATAGTGTTGGCAAGGAGAAGGCGTCGTTGTTCACCTTTTCCCTAGGATGCTGCCATATACTATATCTGTGTTAGTCTGGGGCTGTAAGGTTGTCCACACTGAGAACATTGATAAGCAGGCTCCTTACTCCCAAACAATGGATTTACAGTTCAAGAAGACAACTTTCAGACCATGCCCCGGTCAGAGCTTTGTAATCACGTGGATAGTAAGTGGTTACTGGGGACCATCTCCTCAGACAAATCAGAGTCACTTGAGGACTTATCTATATAGAGTCTGTTCAGGCTGAAACCAGAAGCAGAGACTTTGCCTTTGTCCACGGCAAGGATCCTTGCATGAAAAGGAAGTGTGGTATAGGATGTACTCATTTGAGTGGCAGCTCTCCTACAGGGAAGGGAGAGTAGAGTAGGACAGTGGCAGAGGGCGGAGGGCTGCCCTGCTCCAGGCTCTGCTCCCCCACTTCCCAGAAAATGAATTAGCCACTATGACTCCATATCTGTAAAACAGGAGTAACTATAATACCTCCCACAGCTTTTATGAAGATGTAGTAAAAACAGAAGTATGAAAAATGCCTGGCATGTAGTCAGAGCCTGTGAGCGTCAGGATGTTATTCTATGGCAGCTGCTGGCTTGGAGGATTCTGTTTCTTCTCTGCTTCTATTTGTTCCACTGTAGGGCCTTTGTGTACTGAGACATAACTCTTTCAGGCAAGCATACCCAGTATCAACAACCCAAAGTTTTAGAGCAGAAAATAACAAAGTGTCTTGAATGAGCAACTCAGTGATGTTCTGCTTTTGACATTTCACCATAAAAGTAAAATATTAAAGGTCATGGGGGCTGAAAGTATAGCTCAATGGTAGAGTGTCTGCCCAGCATGCGTGAGGCCATGGGTTCAATCCCCAGTACTGCCATGTTGCAAAGAGAGAGGTGAGGTGAGAGGGAGAGAGAGCTCAGTATCGGAAACAGAATCACCCACAGTCCTAATATATAAACACAACCACTATTAATATTCTGTCATCGCCTATGTTCAGGTATATATTTGGTGTATTTGCCATGATGGCAGTCACATGCATATGTGATTTTATGTCCTGCCTTTAACTTCAGGTTATATCATAGACATCATTGTCAAAGCCTGCAGGCAGAGCCATTAGTTGAGTGTGTCATAGTTTATTTAAGCATCACTATGGCTGGATATGTGTGTCACTTCCAATTCTGTGATATAAATGATGTCGCTATAGTATTAGTAATGCTTTGGGACGATCAGACCTTGGATTAATTTGAAGAGCTCAGATGACACGGGAAAGGCTGTTTTATTAATGAGAACTGAGCTGTGTATAATAGTCAGGGTTTCTTAGAGCACAAAAATTGAAGGTTTTTCCCCCATCTTTTCCCTTAAAAAATGCTGTAGTCTGATCCATTATGTGTGCATTGGCAGTACACGAGTCCCAGGGCTATTTCTAAATGCAACCTGAAAAACAAAGACTATTTCAGCAAGTTCCCTGAATAATTACCAGGGAATGTCTCTTTTACCACCAGTGATCAAAGGGGGCTGAAGCTATCAGAAACCACCCAGTCATATCATCTGCTCACACAGCTCTTGAGCTTCTGCTGGGAACCAGTGCTGCGGATATGGCCTTAAAGATTAGCCTCTGTCTTCCCAGTTTTGCAGAGAAGCAGGAAACCTACAAATTAATTTACAGACAATTATACCCCAGTGAGAGGCATGCTGTAATCGAGTGCAAGGCTCCACGGGAGCACAGAGGAGTGGCTCCTAACCCTTACTGTAGGGGTTGAGGGTTAAGGGAAGGCCTCAAGGAAGGAACTAGCCTCTCTGCCTCCGAACAATAAGGAAGTGGTCAGGGGAGAGGACATGTAACATGCCCGTCACTTCACAGAACTGCACTAAACCACTGAGCTTCAGTACCAGAAAGGTCTGTGAAATTGTCTTGGCTCATGACTTCCATTCTTCCTGGTTTTGTGGTTTTTTAAATATGGTGATCAGTCAGGTGCGAATGTACGAGGAGACAGAGGAGCGACCCAGGAAGACAGAGCTCCTAACTTGGGTCCTAGAGATCAGAGGCTTGGCATGCCACACAGGGGTAGTATGGGGAAGCCTCAAGAACAGAGGGGAAGCTGAGGTTAGGGCCTTTGTTGAGACAGGGTAGAACAGGGTAGGGGAGCCATTTAGGACTGAGCAGTCTGAGTAATTTGCACAGACTCTAAACTCTAGGAATGGTTCCTAGTTGCCTAATGTGGTCCTAAGCCAATTAAGGCAGAAGACTATTAACTTCTCAAGTATATGGGCCACACAGAGGAGGGATGGCTACTTTGCATGTCACAGGCAGGCTCCAAGCTGCTGCTATTGCCAACCCTCAAGGACTGGTTCACTTGGGAAGAACATCTCTTCCAAACCAGTATTTCCTGTGAGGAGAGTAATAAAAACTGTGGGTAGCAAGCTGGAGCTTGAAGTCTCCAAATCTCAGATTATTTGCTCCATGCTCTTTTGGTTGGACCTCACTATTTGAAAAAACAATGGGACTTGTGGTCAAGCACTCCCATCTCTCAGTAATTATCCAGCCAAGAGGAATAGAGACCTGTGATCCCAAATAAGCCTTAGGATCACTGAACCTCATGAAGAAAGTTTCCAAGGTACAGAAAACCATGCAGCGGTTTGGGTTTTCTCATGGTCACAGAACAGGTTTTCCCAGTCCTACCAGGCAGTTGTGGGAACTAGGCAGCTTCCTTACAGGAACTGAAGTCACTGCACCATGTAGGGTGAGCTGCAGGGCAGGAACCTATTGTCAGTGGCCCTGTCATCAGATCTTTAGATCTCAGTCCTTGTTACCTTGGGCTGATTGACAGGCTTCCTGAGTGATGGAGAACTATGCCCTGGGGTGCAGTCCAGTGTCATTTCAGGGACACACCTAACAGAGTTCCACTCCTGCTGAATCCTCACCTCTCCTGACTAGTTCTTTGGGGGCGACAGTCCCTGTTCCAGTTTGGTGCACTCTGGATCTGTTGCCGACTAGACTCCACTGCCCTTCCAGGGTATGAAGTTTATACAAACATGCAGCTCCAGCTAAGTGCCTGTTGGAGAGGTTCCTGGGTAAAATAACTGTGCCAATGACAAAGGCCAAGGAAGAGGTACCCTTTCAGTCCACTATGTTAGACACTGCAATTGGGTGGTAGAGAAACACCCGTGCTTAGCCATCCTAGTGACACTTTCCAAAGAGAAATATGGCAGAGATCCAGACTGAGTCACCTTTCCTTTATAGTACCTAATGGAAGGAGACAGTACTCTAAGCATAACAGGAAACAATACAGTTCAACTACAGACTCAGGCTTCTCTAAAAGTGACTGTACCAAGGCTGTTATAACAAGCCGTTGGGAGACTGTTTCACGATTTGCATTGCTCTCCGGCTGAGTGATGAAGTCTGGCAGCAGCAGATGGGAAAAGGGAAAGAAGCAAGTGACACTGCGTTTGGACCCTGTGCTGGATAGCTTTAGTGTCAACTTGACACACCTGGGTTGAGGGAGCCTCAATCGGGAAATTGCCTCTATTGGACTGGCCTGTGGCCATGTCTGAAGGGCATCTTCTTGATGAGTGATGTTGGTGGTGCCACCCCTGGGCAGGTGGGCCTGTGTTGCATAAGAAAGCAGGCTGAGCAGGGGCCAAAGAGACCAAGCCTGTAAGCAGCGTTCCTCCATGGCCTGTGCTCCAGCTCCTGCCTCCAGGTTCCTGCCCTGAGTTCCTACCTTAGGCTCCCTGATGAACTGCGTGCAACCTGGGAGATGTAAGACATATAAACCCTTTCCTCCCCAAGTTGGTACTGGTCAGAGTGTTTTGTCACAGCAATGAAGAATGAAGACAGACCCTGAAAGCCAGGACTTTTGCCTTAAAGGAATGTTATTCTCAGAGAATGAGGAGTTCACAGGGCCACCTGGAACCTTCTTGGACTTCTAGACCATGCATGGGTCCCTAGGATCTTAGAATTATCTGATGAGGAGGTTGGGACTCCATTTCAGAGCCTCCATTAGTCTCCTCCAGGACTGTGAATCCCAGGCCTGGAGAGTGGCCCAGTGGTAGCACAGCAGCTCAAGCTTGGATGTCCACAGAGTGAACAGAGTTCGGTGTGGGATAACAGAAGGGGGTGGGCCACACTAGAGGCCACCAACTGTCCTCTTGACCTGGGCCCTACAAACATTGGGATGAACCTGGAAGTGAGCCATGTATAAGACTGAGGATAGGCCTACAAGTTAGGAGTGTGTTTGGCTTAAACAAGATAGAAGTTTATTTCTCTTACAATGAAAAGAAAGCCAAATCCCAGCATGCAGGAGGCAGAGACAGGTGGATCTCTACGAGATCAAGGCCAGCCTGTTCTACATAGTAAGTTCCAGGCCAGTTATGGCTACAGGGAGATCTTGTTTCAA